TTAACACGTTCAGGTGTTTCAGGAGGATAGCAGGGTCTCACCTTCAGCGATTTTCAGCAGGAACTACCATGTTGATTTCCATAGTGACAGCACCACTTCACACCTATGCTGGCAGTGGAGAGGGTTCTTACTTCCCTGCATCCTCGCCAGGAGTGTTTTTGTGTTTTGTGGTTTTTGGTTTTTGTTTTTTTTTTTCCCTGATAATAGCCATTCTGTCTAAGTCAAATTAGAATCTCAAAACAGTTTTAAGTTAGATTGCTCTGGTGGCTAAGGATGTTGGACATTTTTCAAATATTTTTCAGCTGTTTGCTTTTCTTCTTTTGAAAACCATTTGTTGAATTTGCCTGACCACTTACTGATCAGATGATTTGGTGTTTAGTTTTCAGAGTTCTTTATTCTGGATATTGACCCCCTGTTAAATGCGTAGGTGGAAAGGGTTTTCTCGCACTCTGTAGATGGCCTCTTCGCTCTGCTGGTGGCTTCCTCCGCTATGCAGAAGCTTTACGTAATAATTTCACACAGTTCATCGTCAGTTCCTGAAACTGCCTCCTATGCCACCGTGTTCTGTTCAGAAAGTCTTCGTCTATGCCTGGGTAGTGAATTGTTTTCCCTGCTTTCCTCAAGCAGTCTCAGAATTCCAGATCTTACATTACGGTTGAGGGGGGTTTTGTGTGTAGGACAGGAGATGCATATCTAACTTCTTAGGGCTGATATTCGGGTTTGCTGGTATCACTAGATGAAATGCTTTCTTTACTCTGAAGAGTGTTTTGAATAGCTTTCTCAAAAAGTAGGTGCTGGTGGCTGTGTGGGTTTAAGCTGGGTCCTCTACTGCTGTCCATGCATCTGACCTGGGCCTGTACCATGCTGGTTCTGTCACTATGGCTCTGTAGTGTAATTTGAGATAAGGTTGTGTGTTGTCTGTAGCATTACTCTTTTGCTTTGGATTGCTTTGGCTATTTTGGGATAGTCACCTGTGCTTCCATAAGAACTTTAGGGTTGTTTGATCTGTTTTCTGAAGAATGCTGTTAGGATTTTGATGGTGATCACATTGACTCTGTAGATCACTTTCCGTAATTTACCATTTTCACAATATTAATTCTGCCAATTAATGAGCACAGGAGGTTTTTCCATCTTTTCTGTTTCTTTCTTCTGGGTTTTAGAGTTTCCACTGTAGAGGTCTTTTGCCTTCCTGGCTGTGTTTCTTCCTAGCTGAGTTTAATCTGTGTTTGGTGTTCTGAAGCTGTTATGATGAGATTATTTTCCTGATGTCTTTTTGGCAAGATCATTATCAATATATTAAAAAAACTGGTTTTTATATGTTGACTTTGTATCCTCCTTCTTCACTGAAAGTATTTACCAAGTCTACTATTCTCTGACAGAGACTTTAAGGTCTTTTATGCATGAGATCATGTCTGCAGACAGGAATGCCTCGCCTCCTCTTTTCTTATTTATAGCCTTTTCTTTCCTTGCCTTGCTTTATTGCTCTAGCTAGGACTTCAAACGTTTTACATTGAGCAAGAGGGTAAAATGGTCACCCTTGTCTTGTTCCTGATGTTAGAGAAGATACTTTCAGTTTTTCCCAACTTAGTATAATGTTGGCTGTAGGTTTACCATGTGTAGACTTTATTGGGTCAGGTATGATCTGTTCCTAGTTTCTACATCTTGTGAGATGGTCCTGGGATTTCTCTCCTTCCATCTGCTGTGTGCTGCATTACAGTTTTAGATTTCTGTATATTGAACCCCTTACTTTCCCAGAATGAAACAATGCTAACTGTGATGTGTGGCCTCCTTAAAATTGGTTTGTGTGTATTCTACGCAGAATTTTTGCCTCTGTGTCATCAGGGAGATTGACCTATAGTTTTCTTTTTGTATGTGTCCCTATCCAGTTGTGGTACCAGGGTAATGCTGGCTTCATAGAATGGGTTTAGAAGCATTCTTTCCCTTTCTGGTTTACAAAATCTTTAGAGAGCATTGCTGTTCGCTTTTCTTTAAAGCTCCGAGGGGACCTGGTGCTGAATCCAGCTGCTCTTGAACTTTTTTGCCAGGAGACTCTTTAACAAAGCGTCAAACGTGTTGCTTGTCATAGGTTTGTTTAAGTTACCTACATCCTCTTGAGCCCATCTTGGTTCTGATAAGTGTGTTTTCAATTTCATTTGACTCCAGAAATTTTTAAATTTCCTTCTCCTTTTCTTCAATGACCAATTGGTCATTTAGGAGCATATTGTTTGAGCTCCACGCAATTGTGTATACAGTTTCTTGGTTTCTCCTATTGCTGATTTCTAGTTTCATTCTACTATGATCTGATAATATATGAGAAATTATCTCCATCTTTTGTGTTTCTTAAGACTTCCTCTAGTGTCTAAAACATGATCTGCTTTAGAGGAATGTACATTCTGCTGTGGTTGGGTGGATGCTCTGTTAAGACCTTTTAGCTGCGATGCAAACTAACTGTGAAAATCCTTGCTAATCCCTTAGTCTGGATGAACTATTCATCCTGGAAAGTGGAGGATTGAACCCACCTCTACTATTGTATCAAAGACCTGTCATCTGCCGTCTGTGTCCATTCATGTGTGTCTTCTGAAATAGGGAGGCCTAAACTTTGGTGCACATAAGCATTGTACACATTCAAAGGATCACTTTTTCTTGGTGAATTGTTCCCTTTATTAGTTTGCAGTGACCTTTTATCTCTGGCTAGTTTTTATTTGACGTCTACACTCTCGGGTATGATTACCGCTGTGCCAGCCTGCTTCTGGCTTGGCTTGGCTTGTAGCTGGGTTTGGTTGCTTGCCAGGCTGCCGTCTGCCCTTTAACTCTGTCTGTGGGTGTGGTTTGGGGAGACAACAGATAACTGGATCACAGTTTCCAGTTCGTCAGCTGGTCTCTACTACACTGGAGACCTGAATCTGTTTGCATTTATAGCTATTATTGAGGGAGTTTTGCTTATTCTTGTAACTTTGGTTGCTTGGTTTTGGTTGGATTCTGGTAGGTTATTTGTTGTTTTCTTTCTCTTCTATTCATGTTAGGGCTTTGCTGATTTACTGTGTTGGACAGGATGAATTCTTTCTTAGTTCATCATCCCGCTCATCACCCCACTCATAAAGTGTATCCTTTGCTGCGCCCTCTTGGTTGGTGTTTTCTTCCTCCTCTGTGTTTTGGGTTCCTAGGTGCCTTCAGTATTGCTGGCTTGGTGGTCATAAACTGCTTTGATTCATGCTCATCTTGATATGTCTTTATGTCTCCACGGATATTAAAAGACAACTTTGCTCACCCCTGTTGCTGGCTTTCCTCTCCAGGCCACGGGTTGGTTAGATCCTTGCTTCATATGTCTGCTTATGTATGTCCCCTTTCAAGTTGCTGATTCTTTTCATAAGTAACTTTTGAATTCTTCATCTGGCATCCCAGCCAGCTCTGCATCTTCATACTTGGTAGCTGAGTTATCATCTTGTGGAGCGGTGACACTGCCGTCCTTTGTCATGTCCCTTGTGTTTCTGCGTTGTGGCTCACACGTCTGTTGGCTTGAATCTCTTTCCTGGTCTCAAAGGGATCCTCTCAGTGAGTGACCCTCTCTTGAAGGCTTCCTCTTCAGAACCATTGAGAGAGGAAAGAACAGCTGCTGTGACAGCGGCAAGAATCAGTCAAACAAGATACAGAAATGCGTTTAAAACCGATGAGAGCCCATGGACGCACCACCAATGCCTGGGGAGAAATATACACCAAGAGAGTGTGTGCCTTGACCATCAGAGTTGTGTATGGTAAATGTGGAAGTTGTAAAGGAATGAGATAAAAGAGAGGGGCAGCGAAGTGGAAACTGGAGGGAAATCAAGTTAAATAAGAGGAAAGAGTGGAGAAGGATGAAAGACTAAGAGACTAAAATAATAATTCATGATTTTTGGATAATGAAAAATCATAAACAGAATAATTTGATAAGTGAAAGAAGAGTAATGAAAGATAAAAATAAAGGATGATTAAAAATACATAGAAAGTCAAAATGTTACAAAGAACACAGTAAAAGTGGAGGCAAGCATCCAAAAAAAAAAAAGGGGGGGTCTACCATGCCCGGCGGTGGTGGCACAGGCCTTTCATCCCAGCGCTCGGGAGGCAGAGCCAGGTAGATCTCCGTTGAGTTCGAGGCCCCCAAACCTGGAGTCTTCCATTGGAGAAAACTGATTTTCCCTCAGCCAGTGGGTGTCAGTCGCAGATTCTTGGTTAGGAGTGAGTGGGTCCCTTAGCAAAGCGCCCGATGTGACCGACAGCACTTGGTCCTCTAGAAGATCCATGGGTTTAGGCATATCTCTATCCGCGCTTTACAGGTTCTCTGGGAGGCTGTGACACTACCCAGTGTCCACCACCAGAGTCAAAATCGATTTCGCCTCAGCCCGTCTCCTCCTTCGAACTGCAGCCCCAGCCACCTTTTCCAGCAAGCCTGGAAGACTTGAGTTTCTTCCCCCGCATGCACAAAGGAGGCCTGATGGGGTATTTTCCAGTGAGGTTCCCTGTAGCTTGGGAGCTGATGCTGTCCAAGAACAGCGGCCCACGTCCTTGCCTTTTAGCATGTTAGCTGAATCAGAGGCGATGCCTGGCAGTGCCTTTGCTGAGCCCAGGTGAGTGAGAGCCTGGCCCATCCTGAGAGAAGGAGACTTTCTGCCCCCCTCCCCCCGCCCCCGCAGTGTGGGCACCTCCCCACTTCTTTCCTGGGCCTTGGTTTTTAATGCCCCTGTGTCGCTTTATGGCTTAGGAGACAGTCGTATCTCTCCTCTGCTACCCAAAGGCTCTTCTTGCTGCAGTTCTCAGGGCCTCATCATAAAGCAAGGCGCGAGGATTGATTTGATGGGAACAAGAATCTTTGTAAGCCCCAGGAACTACACACCGGCAGGTGATGGAGTGTAAGCAAAATTCAGCAGGCGGGAACAAGACCAGGGTCCCGGAGCGTGGGCGGCAGCGCCTCGAAAGACCACGAGAGGGCGCTCCAAACCAAACAACCCGGGAACTCCTCGGCGAGGCACTTCCCCGCAGAGGTCGGCCTTTCACAGGAACGCTTTCCCGAGAGCCGTTGAGGCTGCTGCAGCCTTAAGAGGCCAGCCAAGGATTGCCGTCAGAGCATCATCCCCCAGAGGCACCGAGGAGACAGGAAACCTGCATCCTGCCTGATGATGTTCAGCCTGGGTTGCATCCCCTGGTCCTGCCAGCGGGCTCATCCCATGGGAGCCCGAGGCAGGACCAAAGGCAGGGAGCCCACGGCTCGGGCTCCCACGGGGTTGAGAAGAGGGGCGGCAACCTGAGTGCTCCCTCTAGGCGCCGAAGAAGAAGCCCCCGGAGGATCAGGCAGAGGTGGAGAAGCCTGCTCTCCAGGTTCAAGTGAGCAGAGATGAGGTCCAGGTGAGCCAGGACTTCACTCTCGCACACACCGCAGGGCTCTCACCCAGCAGCGACCCTGTGCTGGGTGAGTGGGCAGCCAGGGCTGCACAAATTTCCAGACCACGGGCTGTGAGTTCATACTTTAAAGATGGACTTTAAAACCCCTCCTAAGCCACATTGAATTTCTGCGTGGCTGGGAGCATCACGATTCCCCAGTGAGAACCTCCCCCAGGTGCTGTCAGGTGTCAGGTAAACGTGTCTGGTACACAATCCTATGCCCGCTGTTATTAGTGCCTGCAAGCGGAGTGATTGGAGGCCACAGGGGCACTGGCCTGAGTCCAGGGCAAACTGATTTGTTGTGTGCATGGTGCGGAGCCATGGCTAGAGCTGAGTCATGTTCAGGGAGGCATCCAGCTCGCCCTCTGAAAGCAGGCCCCTGCTGTGCTTGGCTTGGCTGGGTGGGGCCTGCTCTTGGCCTGGCTTAGAAAAGTGGGTTAGGGGAAGGCTGAGGTGGAGGGTGGAAAGCGGTTTCTTTCTCTCTTTCACGGAGGTGACCCCTCTCTACCGCATCTCCCACAGTAGCAGAGGGGTTTTGGAGCCCCCAGCCCCGACCCATTATGGTCTCCCAGCGTCTATTCTGGCCCCCAACTCTCTCCTCTGGCAGCCCTCTCTAGCCTTGTGACAAGTAGCCCCGCCCAGTCCCCCCCCCCCCCAGAAACCAATCAGGACGTCCACTGGTTTGGATCTAGTCTCAGGTGTGCTGGTTAGTGCCCCCCCAAACAAGCCCTAAGGAAAGAAGGGTTTTAAAGGTGATTGGGGGAGGCTCCTTGGTTCTTCTGAGACTGGAAAATCTACCCTTTCCTCCTTCTGGGTGGGAGAAAAGAAATATTAGCCCCTGGAGCTGATCCCACCCAGAGGGGAGGGTGGGAGGGAGGAGGAAGGAAGAGGGGGAGGAGAAAACACCCCAGAAGCAAACAGAACAGGAAAGAAACCCAGACTTGGTTGACAGTGTCAACCTGCTGGATCCAGTCTTGCCAGCCACCAGGGTCATGAGGATGTTCCTCCTAAAGGAGTCAATACATGAATTCAACTCTAACTTTACTCTTGTTTTGTTTCGTTTTTTTAAACAGGGTCTCATGTAGCCCAGGCTGGCCCTGAACTTACTATGTAGCTACGGGTAACCTTGAACTTCTGATCCTCTGCCTCCACCTCCTGAGTGCTGGGATTACAGACATACACCACTCCTGGCTTTGTGTCCTCCTAGGGACCAGACCCAGGACATGGACCCAGAACTTCCATTCCAAGTCTTGCTACAATGGGTTTGGGGGTGCCCCCCACCAGTGTCCCACCCATCCTCAGTCCACCTGTGTTTTCAAGCCCTGTGTGCCTCTAGGACAGAAGGAAGGTGTCATTCCAGACCAGTCAGGGTCTCTGAGGTCAGTACCAGCTCCAGGTCTTCATCTCCAAGCTCCAGCTCTGTCTCTGCCCTATCCCTGGAGGCTCCCAGCTCAGCTGTGAACTCTGGGCTATCTGTGCTCCTGGGCCCAAGGTCATGCCGGCATCTTGGGCCTGAGCTCTTGTAGATGTCATGTTTAGCCACTTTTTCCTTCTCTTAGCTATCCCAAAGACAGTCTGCCCTCTCCATTCCAGGTGCTGTCCCATCACTTCCCTAGAGACCGCTCAGTGACAGGAACTGTGCCCAAATGCTAAAGTGTGAGTCAGAAGCACTGTGACCAGGCACAAGCCACAGAATGCCGGCCACTAGTCCAGAGCCCCAAGCTTCCGTTGCCTGTGGCATGGTGAAGAACTGATGACAGCCCACATCCCAACCCCCCCCCCACACACACACACACACGCATCCCTACCTCCCCCACATGCCTACGTCCCCCACATCCCAACCCCCCCCCACACACACACACATCCCTACCTCCCCATATCCCTACCTCCCCTACATCCCTACCTCCCCCACATCCCTACCTCCCCCCACACAGCTCTACCTCCCCCACATTTCTGCTTCCCCCACCAGGGCTCACATTGTAACTTCAGGCCTGATTCAAGCTCAGCTTGTAGAGGCTAGCCGAGTAGAGACAAGGTGAGAAGGGGAAGCACATTCTAGGCTTCTCCTCCCAGGAGGTGCTCCTCCATCTGCAGATACATCAGATGCATTAAGGCAGGTGACATTGTGCCTGCCACCTTAGAGCCCAGCTTTGCCTTAGGTCACTAGGGCTGCTGTGTGATGTTGATGACGGCAGACACACCACTTGGCTACTTACAGCCAAGTTTGTTTGTTTGTTTGTTTGTATCAGTTTTCCACGACTGTAGATGACGTAATGGATGGTGTAAGGACAGATTTCCAAAACTAAAATGGAGAAGTGGCACCCTGAGGATGTGACATGGCTTTCCTGGGCTCCACCCCTGCACCTGGATCACAAGCCCCAGATGCCACCCGTGCAAACCGGAAGTCACCCCACATGTTCAGAGGAATTTGCACATGTTCCCTTAGGTCCACGCCGGCTCCTTGGAAAACCCAAATGTAGCAGCTAGTGCTCCTGGCTCACCGAGTCCTCGCTTCCGCCGACGAATCTGGCATCTGTTCCCTCTCAGAGGCGGCTGTCACTGCTGGTCCCATTTCACAGATTTGCGGAACTGATACTCTGACTTCCCCGTTTGCTCTCAGACCCCCAAGGTACATGCTGCGCAGAGAAACTCATTCCCCACAGCAGGCTTCGTGTTGGAAATCCAGGCAAATGCCTGTAAAGGGCATTCTAAATATATTTCTTTACTATAGATGCTGATCGCCTGCTACTGAAACCAGGAATTAGCTTGTCTGCCTGAGGATGTGACTGCTGCCTTCGAAAGAAGCTTCGGGAGAGATCTGCCGATTGCCAGCTTAGCGATGCTGCCGACGGCTTCCAGCAAAAGAAGAACCTTCGCTGCCAGATACTTCAGTAAGGATTTGGCGGTGTGGGCATGACTGTGTGTGTGACTTCTTGCTTGAGGGTGGGGTCGCTCGGGGCCGCTGAAAGAGCCTCCTCGGTCTTGTGGGCTGTGGGCGCTGTGCAGTATACGGGCAGGGCTCAATCTTTCTTCAGTTCCCAGCACTGGCTGGTGCCCCAGCACTCAGCCCTGTATCCCAGCATCTGCTCTATGTCAGCCTGAAAAATGGGCTCCAACATGACAGCAAATGTCAGGGGTCCTGGACTCCATTTGGTGTCCATGAGGACCACCATGTCCGTAACCTGCTCGGACACTAGGTCAAGCTTCCACAGGGAGAGTAGTGCATCCCATGGCTCCTCTGCCAGGAAACAGCCCAGCCTGGCAGTGAGCTGAAAGATGTGGATGATGGCTGAGTAGCCCCAGGAAAGTGCTGGGAAGGAAGCAATTAGCCACAGTGGGACTATTGTCTGTTTGAGTCATAGGCAGATGCTGGTCGGTGTGCTCTGAAGGTGCTGGTCCCTTCAAGAGCTGAGTCTTGTAGGTGCTGGGTCACACCAATGTAGGTCCAGAAGGTACAAGGTCATACAGGCGCCTAGCCTTGCAGGTGCTGGGCCTTGCAGGTGCTGGGTCATATAGGTGCTAATTCCTGCAGGTGCTGACTAGGTGTACCCCTCAGGTGCCCTACCCAAATGTATGGGTACTGGCAGGACCCCAGACAGGAAGGAGCTGGTTATGTTTGTAGCTAGCAGATGTTCTCTGGTAGTAATGACCTGAGAGCTGAATTCCAGAAACAGAGATCATCTGTGGTATCCTCAGGGCCCCTGGTCCTGCCTTAGAAACTGAGGGAGCTCTTCAAACTCCCCAGCCTCCTCTGGAAATGTCTGCTTAGCTGTCCTAGGTGGACCCCAGGCTTCGGCACATCATTATGTCACCGACAGCATCAGGAGAAAGTGAACAGAGCCACAGGGTTTGGACTGCAGCTGCGCCGTTGTCTTCCTGAGCAGGCATATGTGGGGTGAGGAAAAAGTTTCCTCTTTCACAGAGGCAGAGTTCAGTGGACTGGAAGCTTGGACTGGGCTCTGAGTCCGGGCTAGATTCTAGGTGGAAGCTCCGCTGGAATCGATGTACAGAGATCAGAGGAGAAATCAGGCTGGGGCGGCTGAGATCACAGTATCTGACAATCTCCGGGTGTTTGCCTCCAACTGGGGTCACCGTGTTATCCAGCTCCAAAGGCAAAGCCCTGGCTTTTGTGGAAGGATCAACTGCCAGATTTGTCTGATATGATGGATTATGCCCCCACCTCCAGGGGCATGTGCCCACTGTTGAGAAAGGAACAAAGGAGATGCTACACGAGAATTTAATGAATGAGGTCGCATTGATTTTTATATTAAAGTAAAATTCACATGGCAGAGAGTTAGCATTTTGAAGTGTAAAGTGGCAGTCCATACATGCAGCATCCTGTGTGGCCACAGCCTCAGACTAGCTGATGAACATTGCCACCGTCCATGTCGTCCTGCACGGACTACACAGTCCCCACACACAGGCATGACAGCCACCAGTCTGTCTGTCTGCGTGGACTTAGCTGCTGCACAGATCTGATAAGTGCATGTGTGTCCGTCCCTCTGGGCCAGGCCTTTCACACTCAGCGCGCTGTCATCCGGGTTCATGTGTGATGTAGCGAGTATCTGTGCTTTCTTCCCGCTGACGGCGGTGATTTAAGCGACGATCATCTCAGACCCGTAAGTGACTTTGGGGAAAATGGCAATGCCGTTTCACAGAAGGCCTCAGAGAGGGGAGGTGTTAGGGGGCTGTGGGGACAACTTCTCTCTCTTCATCCTGTTCTGATTCTCTCTCTCTCTCTCTCTCTCTCTCTCTCTCTCTCTCTCTCTCTCTCTCTCTCTCTCTCTCTCTCTCTCTCTCTCTCTCTCTCTCCTGGTTTACTCAGGGTTCTTTATGGAACAGGACTGATAAAATATATATGGGATTTATTGTAATGACTTACAGGCTGTGGTCCAGCTAGTCTAACAATGCCTGTCTCCCAACAGAAAGGCCAAGAATCTGGTAGTTGTTCAGTCTAAGAGTCAGGATGTCTCAGCTGGTTTATGTCAAAATTCCAAAGAAGTGGGTTCTAAAACCAGCAAGGTATTAAAATACTCCAATAGCTGCCTCTGCAGGAGGATCCTGAACTTGCTATCGAGAGTGAGGGCAAGCAGACAAAAAGCAAGAGCTTCCTTCTTCCGTGCCCTTTCGTGTGGACTGCCACCAGAAGGTGTGGCCCAGATTTAGGGTGGGTCTTCTGACCTCAGATGATCCAGTTAAGAGAACTCTCTCACAGACATGCCCAGCTGCTTGGGTTTTAGTTGATTCCAGATGTGACCAAGCTGACAGCCGAGATTAGTCATTATTCACTCCTGGAGAATATTATTAAGGAACGTAAGTTCACTCTTGATTGATGCTTGCAGGGATTTGAGACAAATGTATACTTCTTGAGGATTAAACCCCTCTGCTGGACCTCACCTCCATCGCTTCGTGCACCGTTCTGCCAGAGGGCCTGCTGGAACTCCCCTTGTAGTAGGAAGCCAGTGTTACTTGTCCAGATGCTTTTGTGCCTCGTGGAGAGTCACCTAGTTTATGTCTGGGTTCTATTGACGTTGACAGATGAACAGACATACAGGTACTGCATCTCTCAGGTGTCAGGATTAGGTCGAGTTCCTGGAATGGACTCTATTTACTAAAGGTTTATATGTTCACATCTAACCGGAATTTACGTTCTCTAGGCACTGTTGTGTGTGTTCATGAGGAATGGTGGGCAGCAGTCTACATTTGTATAATCCTTTGTCTGTCTTTGACATCAGAAGAACAGTGACTTCAGAGAGTGAGCTGGGCAGAAACCCCCTTTCTTTGTCCGTCCTAGTTAAGGTTACTATTGCTGTGATGAAATACCATGACCCAAAGCAAACTCACTTCCACATCTCTGTTCCCCATCAAAGGAAGTCAGGGCAGGAACTGCTGGAAGCAGGAGCTGAAGCAGAGGCCCTGAGGAATGTGCTTCCTGGCTTGCTCATCATGGCTTGCTCAGCCTGCTTTCTTGTAGAAGCCAGGACTACCAGCCCAGAGATGGCCCCACCCACAATGGGACCTCTGACATCAATGACTGGTTAAGAGAATGCCCTGCAGCTGGATCTTGTGGAGGCATTTTCTCAAGTGATATGTCCTCCTTTTAGATGACTCTAGCTTGTGTCAAGTTGACATAAAACTATTGTCCAAGTTTGCTTTCTGTTGCTGTGATAAATGCCATGACCAAAATCAACTCGGGAAGGAAAGGATTTATTTGGCTCACCCTTTGAGGTCATAGTTCACATCTGAGGGAAGTCAAGCCAGGAGCTGAAGCAGAAACCATGGAAGAAGGCTGCTTACTGGCACATTCTCCACCTCGTGCTTAGTGAGCTTTCTTACATAGCCCAGGACCGACTTCCCAAGGATGACGTTCAGCATCAGTCAGTCAAGACAGCCTCTCCCAGATATGGCTAAAGGCAATCTTATTGAGGTAATTCTTCAGGTGAGGTTTCTGCTTTGTGGGTGACGCTAGCCCAATGGTTCTCAACCTGTGGGTTGTGACCCTTTTGGGAGTCATGTGTCAGATATCCTACATGTCAGGTATTAACATCATGATTCATAACAGGAGCAAAATTACAGTTATGAAATAGTAACAAAATAATTTTATGGTTGGGGGGTTACCACAACCTGAGGAACTGTATTAAAGGGTCACCGCTTCAGAAAGGTTGAGAACCACGGCTTCAGGCTGTGCCAAGTTTTCAGTAAAGCTAACCAGGACAGTCCTTTGATGGGGACTTTTGGAAGCATCATTGTTCAGGACACTGGGTAGTTGGTTGTCATCCTGGGGTTCTGCCTGCTTTGTGGGTGCCCCCGCTTTTGGGGCATTGTTTGCTCATGGCGGTCCTTTATAAGCCTCTGTAGATCCTGTGGTGTTGACGCAAGGTCTGCTTTTTCATTCCTGGTACTTTTTATTATTATTGGTCAATCTGGTTAAAGGTGTGCTGAGTTTTTCCATCTTTTGAAAGAACTTGTTCTTCCTTCACTGATTTTTCTCTCATGTTTTGTTTTTTCTGTTTCATTGTATGTCTCAATGTGCTCATCTTTATGGCTTCCTCTTCATTGGGTTTGGGTCTGGCTTGATTTTACCAGTTTCTTAAGGTAAAATTGTGCATTATTGATATTCTAAGGGTGGCACTTGAAGTTAAAATTGTGTTAGCTTTCAAGTATTTGACAATTTCCAGTTATTTTTCTTTCTGTTATTATTTCCAATTTAAGTCCAGTATAGTCATATAATGTACTTTGTATAATTTCAGTTTTCAAGTTCATCAGAACTTACTTTATTGCCTAGCATCTAATCCACCCTAAAGACATCTGTATGAGGCATGCTTTGTGTGCCCATTAAGCTCAATTAGCCATGTGAGACATCTTTCACGAAGCTACTGGTGGCCTGTCTAACTATTCTTCCGTTACTGAGACTGGGGCATGAAAATCTTATAATTTAACTCTCAAGTCTTACTACTTTACTGCCTTTTCCCCAGAGGGCCAGTCTTTGCTTCAAGGATTTCGAGGCTCTCTTCTTAGGCATGTATACACTGATATCTATTGCCCCTTCCGAGTTAGCCTCCTGTCACTGTGACAAAATGCCTGATAAAATCAAGTTCCTAGGGTCTTGGAGATGATACAGTAGGTAAAGGCTCTTGTCATGCAAGCATGAGGACCTGAGTTCAAATCCCCAGAAGGTATGTAAAAGCTGGACACACAGCACAAGCTTCTGAAATCCCAGTGCCGGTATAGGAAGATGCGGGGAGGGTGGAGACAGGACTCCTCAGATCTTCATCCAGCTAGCCTGGTGTACACAGTGGGGAAAAAATGAATGAACAGAGACCCGTCTGAGACAGCCAACATCCCAGTGATCTCCACACTTCCGCTGTGACACACAGGCACCCACATTGAC